CTGATACACTCTACAGAGCACATAAAATCAAAATGCTGACTCAACCAGAAGATCTTAGTAGGCTAACTAACAGGCAATACAGGGTATGTAAATATAGATCTTAGTTGCATTATAGACTTAAAGATACAGTTCTGCAGTCTAGATTGGTTTGGTGTGATCATGACGTGGTTACTCAAGATAATCCACACACCTTGTTGTGAGCAGTTTCATGTAGGAACTATTTTCTTTCTACCAAACTACATTTGCCAACCGTATCACTGTGCAGAAGGAAGCGTGCATCTACTCATGAACATGAGGCTCATGCTCGTGACAGCATGAGATGTTAACATTAATAATGGCATCCTCCTTGCCTGAGGTGTAACAACAGCTAGCTCAGTGATGCTTAGTGAGCTAGCAGTAGACGTACACCTCCTTCTGGAGGTGATTCGGTTGGCCAGAGTAGTTTAGAGAGAAAATAGTTCCTACATTGAACTGCTCACAAAAAATGTGTGGATTATTTTCGGTAACAGGGTCAAGATTTCTGGAAAGAGACATTGCTGTTGAGTTTTTCAAATGTATTTTTTTGGTGATTTGAGCACCACAAGCTGAGTGCCATCTAGTTCTGTTATACTGACGAGAAGGCAAACATCTCTATGGCAAATATCTCCAAAACTCTGCAACTCACACTAAAACAGTTTGGATTGATAAGTCCCACTACAGGTGGGAGGAGAAATATGCATTTTTGATGTTGGGGTAAACTGTCCCTTTAAGGTTTTGATGATGTAAATCATGAGCGTTACAGTGCTAATCTGTGTACTACAAGCGCAGGTGACACACTGCCCAGATGTCTCAAATCACATACTTCCGTTAGTATACTTCCATGTAGTATACTATGTGCACTATGTACACTACTGGCGTAGTGCGCAAATTTCGACAGGGTAGTGTTGTCTCAAACCAAACACGGCTGTTGTGCACTCACAGGAAATGACGACTGCAAATTAGGTAGTCAGCAAACTAGCATTAGCATTCGCGTTATCGTTCGCGGTACCAAATCATTACAGACTGCTAAATTAACCCAATAAACAATAGGGGTGTAACGATACATCGATCCACATCAATACATCAATTCATTGATTAACGATCCAATTACATCGACGCAAAATGAAAACATCGATCCATATCGTCATCTTAAAGACACACCTTTATTTTGAAATTCACATAGCACGTCTGTGTCACCATTTTTGGGCAAGCGCGCCTCCACTCAAACAACAAACAGAGCTCAGAAATAAAATGGTCAAATCATATGATATCGCGTCATATTGATCGCAAGCTCATGAATCGTATCGAATCGAAATCGTATCGTGACAGACTTTGTGAAATCGGCAAACATCATATTGTCATCCAAACAAATCGATATAATATCGTATTGTGATGAAGCTGGTGATTTACACCCCTAACAAACATACTGCTGGCTTATACCCGACAACAGTATAGTGGTGCTTAGTACAAAAACACATGTATTTGTACAATGCAGCGACGTCCACGGTCGCACAGTCCTCGCCCGCCATTTCCAGTTTGAAAAGTGGTCCCTCCCCTTCTGCTACGTAGCCAAGATGGCGACCATTGAGTGCGAGAAGTGTCCATAGTTCCACACTCAACTTCCTGACCGTTTTGAGTGCACCATCCAGGTACTCACAGTGCACTGCATTTTCCATACTTCTCAGTGTGAACACACTTATGCACTCAAAATATTAAGTGTAAATACAGAAGTATGCGATTTGAGACAGGACTGGCTTTTTTTTATCCACACAGCTGTATAAAGTTGTTTAGTCCCAGTTGTGAAGTTAAGCTAAATATCATTGCAGCAATTCTCTTTGCATTATGTAGCATAAGGCCTGAGGCTAAACCAGCAGAGTGAACACATGGAGTTTAATTGCTCATGTCATCATTCACACTACTGGAATAACCACACATACAATGAAATTCTACCACAATTCATTCAGTCAAAACTGATCTATTGTCTGCATTCAAGTCAAAACATTAGCTAGCATGGGCTACATGTTACCTGCTGGTGATGGCTTCAAACTGCCAAGCAGGAAGTGAGAGCATCCAATGGGCTTTATGGAAGGAGACTCAGACTGTACCATGCTGGTACACAGAGGGAGGGTTTTCATTGTTAGAGGAATGGAGTGCCCAAAACAACTGATAATATTATTCTTTCTATGTAAGGACAATTGGAATGATAATTAGACACCGTTTCATTGTTTTTACATTTATATTTTATTTATATTGTTTTAATAGACTGACTAACTTTGGCTTGTCTTGCAGGAGGGACTTCCTGTGAAATACAGAGGAAGTATGACAACAGTTTTTGTTGTTTATTAGAGAAGATAGAAAATGTCACCTTTTTGATCTGCTTAAGGGTAAAAATAAAATGCATTTTAGGGACTACTGTCTACTTTATCTTGAGCTTCAAAGTGTTTCACCCCACCACATTTTGTTGAAAGTTTAGTGTGTTTTCATTAATTTTTGCTGCATGTAACTTTTCTGCGCACTGATTATACTTCAGCCTGTGCTTTCTGACTTCCCTCTGTGTAGTGAACACTGCCTTGTAAGCTTTTGGTGAAGTCATTCATACTGATGTGTACTGATACATTCATTTTATATTCATATATGACGTGGGTGTGGGCACTAAAGGAAAATAATAATCTTTTCTAGCATGAAATCCTCCGTTCTGCTTTCTTTCCCTCCAAAACCAGAGAGGATTGGACCATGAAGGGAAACCTCGATTTGATCCTGAAAACAAAGTGGTTTTCCGCCCTCAGGGGATTTATAAGGGTGAGTAAGATGGAACATGGCAACCCTTTCATCGTGACATACTTTAATGAGTGAGCAGGAGTGATTTACAGTTATGGTGACATCATAATGACTGGGAACGCCGGTGATTTGTAGCATCCCAGAATCCTAGAAAGGGAAAGAGGAAGTTCAGGCTGCCTTAAATGACCTTAATTATTTTTATTAATATTTTACTACTGATGGAAGTGATGTCATCCAAATATAAGAATGAAAACACATTTATTAGTCAGGACACTTTTTCAGCCAAACTAAGTATTTAAGCCCAGACACACTCTTAGATAACATAACAACCATCAGTGGTTTATATTGTGTGTAACATTGACTCCAGTGCATGTTTTCAGATTGTGATTGAGAAACACAGTGATCTACGACATCACATTTTATTCAGAAACCACGTTAAGGAGCACAGAGAATACACTGCAGGAATGTGCTGTATGTAAAACACAGCCACCGGCCTGTTCCACATGTTCCTGTGACTTCATAGAAGTCCAAACTCTCCCCTGAGAGGCACCACAAGTCTTGCTTGGAAGGACTGACCACTTTGAATCTGAGCTCAGTTGGAAAACCCCCGTCTGAAGCGATGGTTCTCAACGACCCTCACAAAAGCTTCTGTTCAGATGCTGCACACGGTGATGAAGTGGGTGGCTGGACACACCAAACAGCCGGAGGGTGAGTATGTGAGTGTGGAGCAGAGTTGTGCAGCTTTGGAGCAGCACTGAAGGGTAAATCATGACGTTACTCACAATGCCATCTACTGTTGACTTTCAGTATTAACATATAAATGTTAAAGCTAATGCCTAAAATAAAAGACTCCAAGTGAAAGAATGTTTTAGCATTTTATTAAATAACACAGCTTTTTTCAACAAATCATACCGAACACATCTATGTCTGACTGAGACAATCACGACTTCCTTTTCTTAACCAGTTTTTATTTCTTTCTTTCTACAGTATGAGAATATTCTCCCAATGCATTTCACAGGACTGGATGTTTCATGGCCTTTCAAAGTTTTAATATCCAGAGAATCCCAGGATTTTTTTTAAAAACAAAATTCTTTTCACTGAGTTGTGTGGCGACTGCACACTAAAGGAATACCTCCCCCCTTAAATAATCATTTGTATATCGATTATTCTCCCTATATTACATTGAGGTTACGGAGAAAACTGCTTTTCTCACATGCCTCAGGTGAACAAAGAATCCAAAAACTATATGAAAACGTGTGTTTTCAAACTCTCACACAACACATATAGTTTAATCCAAGTGTCATGTATCCAGTCACATACTCAGTGCTTCCAAAACAGACAGCTCTTTATATCGGGAAGCCGAACTACAAGTGAAACTTACCTATACTCTCTTCAAAGCCAGACTCCACTGACACTAATTTTACCTCACTGAGAACAGGAGCTGCTGGTCTACCACTGCCTCAGGCCCTGATCACACAGAAAGCGTTTCAGCAGCTGGAGGCAGCTTTTTGTAATAGTTTGTAATAAGAATTAAGCTTTTTACTCACGTTTCTAGGTGCCTGGCGTTTTTGCCGGACCGCTCTGAATTCCTTAAAGGAGCTGTATGTAAGAATGTGGCCAAAACAGTTAATGCACTCAAATTCAAAATACTGCCACGAGTCGTGTCCGCCCACCCTCCCCTACAGATTCGAGGTTGCTGGACAGCGGCACGCTGGAGACTGATTTGTTTGCCGTGGCAGGGCCGTGTCGCCACGTCCTTGATCTTCGGTTTTCCAGCGGACAATTCGAGCAAGTCCAGCTTCTCTGCTGCTAAAGCTGCTGCCAGGATACAGCTGAGGAGGAGCCGGCTGCTAATGCTATGTACCGGGACACTGCTAATGCTGCTTGCCGTGCTGCTGTAGCTCAGTCGTAACTGTAACTGATGCTGAGACTCTACTGACTGCGTGACTGGTAGACGGCAGTGGGTGGCGCAACAGGCCAAAACACAAATTCAAAACATAAACATGATTTGCGGGCCGTAAAATATTTTTTTAAATGCGAATATTCTGGCTGTACTATTGTTGTCGGTGTTCATATGTTACATGAACATTATTCCTTAGTCTCTGTGACATATTAGGATGATTTTATGACTATTTGCTTTAGATTTCTTACATATAGCTCCTTTAACTTGAAAATCTTTTTTCCCCATGGTCCAATCAGATGATTTGAGAGGCGGGCCTTCTGTGGTGGTCATGACAACAGGTTTACAGTTGGTAAACAATGGAGGAGAAACTGGTGGTAGCGGTTGTTGGATACCCAGAGCTATACGGCCCGACGATGGACAACATGTTATTAAACTGTCCCAGAGTCATCCTAACATATGCCTGGAAAAGGCCGTCATGGAGGAGAAGCTCCTGGACCAGCTGGTGGTACTCCCCATAATCAACCTTCTTTTTTAGGGTCTCATGTACCCACACAGATCTCCGTTTCCCTGTGCCCAACAAACTATGTGCTGGCAGCCTCTCACCCTCAACCAGAGCTACAGCAAGTACCCTCTGCCTCAACATTTTAGGAGCTACATACTAATTACTGTGGAAAAAAGCTTGATTAAGACTTGAAATATATGCACTAGTTTTGTGTCTCCTTTTTTTAATTCATCAAGCATTCTCTCAATTTTTGGATTCTTCGTTCACCGGAGACATCTGAGTATTAACTAAGATTTCTTGACAAATTCCACTTAACACAGTACAATTAATTGATATACAAGTGGTCATTTGGTAAGGTGAAGTATTCCTTAAAAATTAGTGCTCATCAACAGTGTCCTACATAGATGAGAGGGTGATTGCATAGCAGGCTCACCAACATTTAGACCGTGCCTTGGAAAAGTGTATTTGACATGTTGGTTGTGTAATGAAGTAAAATGAGTGTAGTGGGTGGTCATCTTCTCTTCTGAGTATTTTTCAAGCTGACATTTAATTCCTGTCTGCTTCATCATACTTGGTTTTATTAAACAGAGAGTTACTGTCTGCAGAGCACTTTGTGACTCAACGAGCAGTGCAGTTTCAAAGTACGCAGGGATGAGAGTTGTACCACAATAGTCCTCTGTAGTCGCCATCTTGTTTCTCTTCCAGCAACTTCTTAAGTTTCTCAGCTCAGCACCTGTCTGTGGTGACGGGCCAGTGGGTGTGTGGGTGGACCTGGCGTCTGTGTGGCCTGTTTGCCAACCACAGCTTCAACAATGTGTGACTGTGTCAACACAAATACCACTCTGCCTCTCTTCTTCCTCCTCCTTGCTCAATCCCCAAAGCAGGAGGAGACAGCATAGAGGCCCAGTCGGTGGATTTCCTTTCTTCTTTTTCCATGTTTACCATCGTTCTTTACCTGGAGAGGAAGGAAAGCAAGTTACAGTCTGCCATAGAGCTGGAGCTGATCCTCATAAGGAGACGGGGCCACTGCCAGGACTTTAAAAATACTCAGATCAAGAGTCATAAGTCTCCCTTTGCAACCTCACCTGCCCTAAAAAACGTATATATCCACCAAAGACATCTGTTGAATTTTTGTTTTTCTACATTTTCTACATCACTTGAACTTTTGAAATGCATGTTTTGGCTATTTCAAAGCCTTTCCTTCAATGTTAGGAATACAATTTCAGTGAAGAAACACCAAATCCTGTCATTTTTAAAGTGTGTTTCTGGCCTACAATAGTCAAATTTAGGGATATAGAGCCCCATGAAAACTGTCTAAATATTCTGTATAAATAATTTGACTTGATTGGAGATGGTAACTGCAGAAATGGTACACTGGATTTGCCATTTTTACAATGTTACGTTTCAGTGTGTCGGGGAGGACGTCAGAGGTTCAGTTACTGTTTGAAGCTCCCACCTGCAGCCTGAGTGTCAGCTAAACATTTTCTTTAGCTTAGAGAAGAAGCCTCCCTCTTCCTTCTGCTGCTGCTGCTTGTCCTGTCCCTCCTCTGAGCTGGTCGACTTCGCACCAGAATGTGAGGTGCTGCTGCCCCCTCCTGGACACAAACACACACTGCATCAGCTCAACCTGCAGCACACAGAACCTGACTGTCTATCTGCGTCTATGGCTCTCTTTGTGCACTAGACTGGAGAGATGCTTTTATTGAACAGTGGAGTTGTGCTCTAACACTGACCTGTAGAGGGCTCGACACCGTTGACTGTCCCCTGAACATCTGCTTCGTCTTCAGCGTAACTCAGCAACAGGGAGCGCTGCCTACGAGTCAACTTTCTGCAGGAACAGTAACAGAATTAAATTATACAGACTGAGGTTTTCATCTACTAGCAAGAGAAAAATATACAAAGTAAAAAATAAGAAAAACATAACATAGAAGTTAAAGAATTAAAAAAAGGAGACATAAAAGGAGATGAAAGTATGAAGACAGACCAGAGACACTTTGAGGACTGCAAAATTACATAACATGGAAATTCGAGATGTCCTGCAGATGAAGTCATACACATTTTGTGATAATTCAATGTGGAATATATTTTAAAATCTTCCATAAATAAATCATAGTTTTGATTTATAAGGCTAAGAGTCTTTTGGTTATTGCAGCTGTTATCTTGTTGCTGCAATAACTGAATCTAAAAATCGTCATTTTTTGTCATGATTTGCCAAAACAAGTAGTCTGACACATTTATAGCACAACTATGTGGGTCTTACTTTGGCACTCTGATCTTGATGTGAACGTAGTGATCTCCATAGCTGTAGCTGTTCATCCTCCGAATGCCTTTCCCCTGCAGCCGGATCACCTGATCAGACTGGCAACTGGCAGGAATCTGAAAACACAGACGACTTTGAAACGAGAACAAACAGAAATCTGCTCTACTGAAACTCCGTGTAAGGAAATGTATTTGGAGACTAAGAAGTGCCTGGTAGGATGATAAATGGAAGTGCCAGTGCTTCCAAATTGCAGTTAAGTACAGGACTTGATTACATTTACTTAGCAGTGTTTCCCCTTTATGCATTTAGCAGCAGGGCTGTGACACTGCTATATAAAAATCTCCCAATACGTTATCTCGCTGTCTCCACTTTAAAGTGTACCAGCAGGGATTATAAATCAAACACCCCCCGATCAGGGTTCTCCAATCAATAAGCCACTGACTGTTATCGGCTGGTGTTTGTTCCAGAGGTTTGATTGGTCGTCTCTGTAACGGCTGATCAGATGAAGCAAAGAAAGAAAAGCCTTTTTCTCTATGCACTACTGAAAAAGCTTCCCTGGTCTGACGGTTCTGACAAACTGTAGCTCACACTGAACATTCACTGTTACACTCATGGTTTATCTACCTGTGCAAACTAGGGATTGACAATATATATCAGGCCGATAAATTACTGGGCAATATTAGAAATGTAGACTGCTTTCATTGACTTCATTGAACAAAGGCAGCACCTACACACCCGACACAGTGGGTAGCTGTACAGGTACCTTTAAACTTGGTTTGTGAGCCGCTAATAAACTCAGAGAAGAAGGACCTGACAAATGCAGCACACTGTCTAGATGGTAAAACATGTCACAGCGTCTTTCACAGTTCCAGAAGAAGACAACAGGATTGCACCAAGGCCTGATCTCTAACCGCCCGACACCCACCATTAGCTGTATATCATCCACACTTGTACCGTTCCTTCTTACTCACCACTATACTGATGGTTTGATAGAGGCCCTGTGCGGTGGCTGTGCCCCCCAGGATGGCCTGAGCTACAGAGATCAACACATCTGAGTGGATGTCTACTCCATTGCGCCTGAACACCGGGCTTCTCTGGACCTGCACCAGGACATTTCAGATGTAACACATTAAAGTCCAACACAATCAATGACTAATTAATGCTTCAAAAACAAACAATACTCACCCTGAATGTAATGAGGATTTCTCTTGTTCCTACTGGCATGCGGACTGTCTGACCATTTTCCACTCCTGTGAGAAAACCACAAAATATATGATTTTTGACAAGATGTATACGTCCAAATTGACCACATTTCCAAATCATAGTCAATAGCAGTGAAAGCAGGTTTACACAGACTCACAATGTGGCACAAAATTAGATATACTGAGAATCTGTTCACTGTTCTTTTAGAGATTTCAGGGTGAAACCTACCAGCAGGTACTGGCACAGTGACCGTCTGCCTCTTCTTCGTCTGTCCTGTACCTCGGCACAGAGCGCAGTGCGTGTTTATGATTGATCCCTTCCCACCGCAGCGTCGACAGGCAGAGCGCATCATGAAAGGACCCGTGTTCAATGTCTCCTGCAGGGGGAGACACAGACAGTGATATGATGTATAGTGGCTGACTGTACACGGTGGAACAGTGTGGGGAAATCCTGAGAGGAAATTAAACCAACTGATGGAAAATGAGAACCTGAAGAGCTTCACAGTGGCTCCACAAGTTAAAGGACCCTGCTGATGACCCTGCTGCAACCTGTCGGTCTGCTACTCACCATGCCGGTGCCGTTGCAGTAATGACAGTGAAGCACTTTGGTTCCTGGCTCATTGCCCTGTCCATCACACCTTGGGCACGTGTCATCAATGTTCACAGTCAGGTCCTTATTTGCGCCCTTTGCTGCCTCTGCAAACGTAAGCTCCATCACAAACTGCGGAAAGACAACAAGAAATAAATAGCAATATAAAAAACCTTTGTGTAAAATAATAATTTAATGAAAACATGTTGATGCTACAGTGTTGGCAGTTCTGACCTCAGGCCTTTGTTCAAACATGTTGTGGATGTCTCCAAAGCCCATTCCTCCAGTAAACTCTCCAAAGATCTTCCTGAAGAGCTCCTCGGGGTCTATCGTGGTCCCCCCGGCCCTGTAGTACTGCTGCTGGCCTGCTGCCCCAGCACGGCCTGGGTCGAAGCCCGCCGCTCCGTATGTGTCATACTGCTTCCTCTTCACTTCGTCACTCAGCACCTTCACACAAAAACAGCATAATTTGATGACGCTGCCCATCACGTTCACATACAATCACATAACTGGAGAAGGAACTAAATTATCTCTGATACTTTAGTGGAGTTGGTTTTATACCTCATAGGCTTCAGCCAGCTTTGCAAACTTCTCTTTGGCACCTGGGTCATCTGGGTTGGTGTCAGGGTGGTATTTCTTCGCCAACTGGAGCGAGATAAAAAAGTAAAAAGAAAGATGAGGGCAGGGAATGACAGCGCATCATGTTAAAACCTCTTTATGAATTTTTCCTGACATTCAAAGGCATCACAACCCTGAAGATTATGTTCACTATTTGCAATAGGACACTACAAAGAAACTTTAGTACAGTGTAGAGCAACAGTGTGACAAAGCAAGGTGTTTCTCTGACCTGGTAGTATGCCTTCTTGATGTCCTTCTGTGTCGCAGTGCGAGAGACACCCAAGACTTCATAGAAGTCCTGCTTGTTAGTCGACCTGCTGCTGGTGTGAAAAGAATGACAGGAGATGCCATGCGGACATCTCGAGCCTGCAAAGAAAAAGATCCAAAAAGGACTATTTGATCAGGAGGACCACTGGACATTCAGATGCTGATGAGATATCAGCAATATTCAATGATGGGGAAGTTTATTTGTGCACAGCCCCAAGAAAAAGCACTAAGAAGTCAGCTGTTAACCATCAACAAGGTCCAAAATTATTGCATTCAGGCCACCAACACATGATTTATGACAGCAAGAAACATAAATTAGAGCAGAGTTCCTGACTGTACTGCTGTCATAAGACACTGTAGGTATTAACTAGAACACTCTTCACAAAGAATGCGTTTACACTGCACCAGTGTACCATGCTGTGTATCCAATGCAGGATCACTGAGGTGTTTTTACAGCACATTAAATGGATCAATTATTTTAAGAATTTACCACATTTGAATACGACTCTATTTAAAAACAAAAGTCCTACAATACTGTAGTACATTCAAAAATTGACTCTGTGTTGAATATAGTCTGTTGTTTATTGCCCTGCAGTAACAACATGACCACGAAAAGACAAATAAAGTAGTGGAATAGTGGAAAAGCCGATTTTTGTTTCTGCTTATTCATGTATTTTTCTTAAAATCTAACTTTATTTCTAGTTTTATTATTGTTTTATGTAAAGGGAAACTGGCAATTAAAAATGTCATATGGTGTAAAACGCTGAGTTTTTTTTTTCTGTGCATATGACAATAAACTTGACTGTAACTAAGTACATTTATTAAATTACTGTACCTAAGCACAATTGTGCAGTACTTGTACTTTACTTGAGTATTTTAATTTTATGCAACCATATACTTGTGCTTAAATACATTTTGGAGCACAGACATATTGTACTTTTTAGTCATTTGATAGCTTTAGTTAGGGATGCATGATATTGGATTTGATATGCCAATCTGTAACAACTTATTTGGCAGATAGCCAATACTGATATCAATGTGTCCACTTATTTCCCACCTACTTTTAGTGATCAAGTCTCTTCTGTAGTGGAATTAACATCATATTATACATGCATACTCTTATGGTGATGGTCCACCAGCAGATAAAGACATGAAATAGAATGCTTTTCAATGTATGTAATATTTATTCATTATGCAAAATAAGTAAAAACATGTTGGCCAATTCTCAGAGTTCATTTTAAAGCTAATATTACTGTGTATCCCTACTTTAATTACTTGTAACTTTGTAGATTTAGATTTATCCAAAATATAATCCAATATTTTATGATATATTATTATAGATTTACCACCCAGCAGTTATCAAAATTAGCTCCAGATTTACCAGCTGCATCATTAAAGTGATGTGCACATGAATGCATCAAATAATGAGAACCTTTTGCCAATACTTTTCTATTTCTACTTCAGAGAGACTTTAAGTGCAGGACTCTAACTTGTGCCTGAGTATTTAAACACGGTATTATTGATGACATACTTATTTAAGTACTGTAAAAGTTGTAAATACTTCTTACACCACTGATAATATGATGCAGACACGATGGGGGTGTGACAGCTGGACAGAGCGGGTCATCATACTGTCTTTCACTACCAGAGAGCAGTTACATCATACTTGTACCAATGCTAACTAGCCTTAAAGGACTAAGCTAGCCTTTAGCTGGCTGTACACTGTAACACCACACATCACAACGCCTGAGACGACGAGGCTGTGCACATTTAAACAGACTGTTAGCGCAGAGCACAGTGACAGATGACTGCTGCTGTAGGACACCATATGTAAGACTCTGATGTTCTGCTAACAGTTAGCATCTCACCTGTCAGTCCTCTCAATATCACGACATTTCCGTGTGTCCAGGAGCTCGTGCTAACCGCTGACCCTACCCGGTGTGACGGCGGCACCGTCCCGGAACAGACTCCTGTATGTCTGGAGGAGACGGTCAGAAACCGGCCGCTGCGGTGTCCAGAAGAAATAGATGCTGATAGCCAACGTGCTGCCAGCCGGGCAGCGGAGGACGCCATTTTCACGTCACTACCGGTGTCAGCGGATCTGCGGGGGTCTGCGCATGTGCGGGTTGTTAAAGTTGACCAAATCAATATAGTAAATGGTAGTTGTTAGTAAAGTACTTTCTTTAAATATTTAAGTATATTTTTGTTTTTCCAAAGTATGTATTTACATGGTCTCCATATTTAACAATGGTATTAGGCATGATCTGAAATATAAACAAAATAAAACACTTCATGGGCGGATTATGAGACAATGGGGCCCTGGGCACAGATGTGGAAAAGACACCACCACCTCTACTACATTGGAGCAAGACACACAGACTTTATGTTGTTGTTGTTGTTGATGTTGTTGATGTTGATCGTGCCTTTGCAGGAGCTGCTCCAGAGCTCTGGAATGGCCTTCCCACCAATCAAATGCTCCCCTCCACTGACACTTTTGAGACAAATCTTAGGGCCTACATGTTTTCAGTGGCCTTTGGTTGTTCATAGCAGTTTTAATATTTCATATGTAATTGTTCTTATCAGTGTTATGCAGTTTTATATTTGCGTACATGTTATACTGCTATATATTTACTTTTATTTTGTACAGCACTTTGGTCAACTGTGGTTGTTTTTCCAGTGTGCTATATAAAAAAAAAAAAACTTGATTTGATTTGTAACGCTTTGAGATAATTTTGATTGATGATTGATATTTATTTCAAACATGTGAAACAAACACAACAAAAAAGCTAAAAACAAGATAACAATAATTGAAATGGATGATAACCTATACAACAAACTCAATGATTAGATTCTAATTAACAACATAATGTTGGAAAAGGAATTTGAGGAAATATTAGCCTACTTGTTTCCAGAGTTGGGTATAATGCGTTACAAAGTAACGCGTTAGAGTACTTTGATTACTTTTTACAGTAAAGAGTAACCTAACGCGTTAGTTTGCTGTTTGAGTAATCAAATACTTAAGTACATTTTGAAACAAGACATCAGTTACTTTCATTACTTTTAGAACGCTGGTCCTTCAGCTCCGAAACAGCAACGGCTGTCGTTTGGTTCTAATAACAGAGATAACGTTAAACCTATCAGTCTGAAAGAAGCCACGGAGCTTGTGGCTCGCTACGTGGTCGGAGAAATGCTGCTGTTGTCTTAAATAGGTGGAGTAGGACTGGCTGACAGACATATTTCAGACTCAGGACTTGCATTATGCCTGGTACACGCTACACGCTGGTACTCACCAATTATGTGCCAGCCAACATGTTGTTGTAGTCACCTAAAAGCGTCAGCAGATGGCAGGAGCTACATTTGAAGCGCCACACGTAAACTGTCGAGCTACTATATCTTCCACAGGAAGTTTTGACAAATGTTTCAGAATAAAAGCCTATTTAGAAAATGGAGGGATTCTCTCAGCTGAGGTTATAAGGGGCTTTTAATTTGAAACAAGTATTGAGTTTGAAATGACGGTGCGATATGTTAACTTTACAAAGACAATGGAGCGCATAAAAAGTAAATATATAAACACACAGAGAGATTAATAAATAACGGAGCGTCTATAATGTAGTCTGTTTCAAATGAAGCTGGGAGCCTCTGCAGTTGTGGTAAGTAAAAGCCCCACCGCTATTTGTTAATGTTATTACTTTATGTCCGACCGTGAGGATGTACCATTGTTTGCTAGCTTGATGCTAATGACAGTAACGTTAACTCAGCGGGTTGACAAAGTGCCTCTGCTGTTTCACACCATCATTTCCCCCTTTTACTCTGTGTGGTAACATCCCTAGAGGAAATATTAAAAACGCTGCGGTGTTGTTGTCATACAGTTGTCTACGGCAGCAGATCGTTGTGTGTTTCTACTGGTCAAAGTGACGGCTGTGATGGGAGAATTGGATCTCAGTGAAGGGCAAGTGGTCCATAACTTTAATTTTGGAGACAAAATAATGTAGGCTTAGCGCCCTGTGGTCCATTGCCCAATAGGAAATGTAGAATACTCAAAAGTACTTTAAAAGTGCTTGAGTTACTTTTCTCAGGGAGTAATGTTGGAAGTACTTTTAAAGTAATTGAGTTACTTTACTCAGGGAATAACGCAGTAAAGTAACTGGTTACTTTCTTAAAAAGTAATGCAGTGACGTACTTTGATTACTTTTAAAGTAACCCTTACCCAACACTGCTTGTTTTTCCTTACCCGTTTTCAGCTACTCATCAATTAATTCATGAACGTCTCATACATGTATATGCATACATACAAATTCGTACTTACACACACACACATAAATACATATACAAACACAAACACACACATCCATATATATTTGTGTCGTTAGGGTCATTTTGTGTCTCTTTGCAGCTTTTTGAGTCTCTTCCTGGTCAGTGTTAGGGGTGTAAATCACCAGTCTCATCACAATACAATATTATATCAATTCCGTGGACAATGATGCAATATTTGCTGATATTAAAAAGTCTGTCACAATCGGATTTCGATTTGATGTAATTTAGGGGCCTGTGATTGATACAAGACGATATTATATGCCCACATAACACAGTCGGTTACAGAAGAAGCTGCCACGTGTTTCCTCTCTGCTTTTGGCCATAAAAGATAAAAACACATAAATAATGCAACTAATTGTAACCACTTAAGTGTAATAACGTTTACTTTAAACTCACTTCACTAACACACCTAAAACAACACATGGGATAAGTTAACCTTCAGGGCTTTCTGCCAGAGAGACTTTTCTGAGGGAAATCTTTTCATTTTAACCCAAACCCTGATCCTTTGTTCAACAAAAACTTCAGGGTTATCTGGTTTAAAAGCCCTGAAGACAAATTTCTCCAAACAGCCACATCCAAACATAGATTAAATTCAGCTCAGAAATAACTGTCAGAGTTCATGGACAGAACAGTTAGTGACCCATTATTAACTTAAGCATGTAGTATTTATCAATTTGAGTGACATTTTGCAGGTAGAGACCAGGGGCCCTCTGACATTTTGGACCCCAATCAGCCCATTCAGTAATCCATCCATGGATTACATTCATCCTCATGAAATGTGTTTGGAGAATAATTTGATTGAAATGTAATTATATTGTAAATCAGATTTAAATGCTGTTGTTCTGTTGCTATCACCTACACAGACAGCAGATGGCGTCACAGAGCTGTCAATGACAGACACTGCAGTGTCTATTACGCCATTAAACTGGACCAAGTTCTGAACGATCTGTAAACTGTGATGGGATGTTGACTTTGCTGTTTTTGTGGTTAGAGTTCAACGGTTAATGAAAGGGTGATGGGGAAGAAGCAATGTTCCTCTGCTTCAGTCAGGTGTCAGACATGTTTTGTAGAGCTTCATTATTTTTAAATTTATATATAAAATGACAGAATGTGTCTTTTTCTTTCCACATAAATCATTTCCTTAGTCATACTGGATTCCAGTTCATGATCAAAAATAGAAATATATGACCCAACATAGAGGGTCATGAGGTCTAATTTCTGAGTCATAAAGTCATATAGAAACCTTTGACTGTTTATCTATACTTAAGAGCTGGTGTCTATGGAGATGAAAGGAGGATGGTATGAAAAAGATCAGAGAAAGATCAAGACTTTCATGTCTCAAGTTATGTCAGGGATTTTTAGGCAGCGAACATGTTGAATGGATGTCAGTGTGTGTGACCTGATGAAAGAGAAGCTCGCGCTCCCTTTCAGTTTCCCCTCCTTCTTCCCCACCATCTCTCTCTCATTCCCCGCCGTCTCCAAGGCGATGTGCAAAACAGCATCCCAGCTGTGTGCGTCTGTGTGGAATGTATTATCAGAGGACGCTGACATTTGCCACTCAGTAATGTAAATATCACTGCGAGCAACGATTCTTATCTCACTAAAGATGCTCTGACTTCCAGCATGTGAGCGCCAACACAGAGTGGTTCATGTTCAGATATGTGATGACGTGTGTGCATGTCAACATTGACAGGCCAAAGATGCTGAATGATGGGTTTATGTTCACACGGTTCGGGTATTTGAGTCATCGCATGTGACTGGATTGTTTGAGCCGTTGTTTCTCATCCTCTGGTCATTCTTTGCTTTTTAATCTCCACAGCTATGGAGATGGAGGATTTGAGGTCAAGCCATCAGAGCAGTGGGAGGTGGGGCAGCTGTGTCAATCTTAACTCAACTGCTCATACCCCTCCACCTCTACACACACACACACACACACACACACACAAAACCCCATGGTGTTGTCATAAAGTGCCTGGTTCAAAGCAGCAGTGCTCAGTGCAAGCCTGTGGTTGTAATTAGTGTTGTGGGTTATGAATGATGGTAATAGTGCTCCATATATCAGCCTCACTGTCAGGCACCGGCACGGCTGCTTCATACCTCGGGCCAAAACACATACATGGAGGAACACAACACTACTGACCCAGATTGCTCCTGTGCAGCTCACACAAACACACACTTGTGAGAAAATGTTGTGCAGCGTGAGCCACACGTGCCAAAATGTGATGTCAACGGTGCTGATCTTAACGAGCCTACACTAGAGTTGTATTATAGTGTCCTCTGAGGATTTTTAATTCTGATTCTGAATCAATACACCAGTATTAGACTCTAAAGCAGTGGTCCTGGTCCAAAAGTGGGTCCCAGGTCTATTCTGAATGGACCATGAGTGACTTGTGAACATGTCAACTTTGTTAAAAAACACACTTTATTTTGAAATACAGTGAGTTTCCAGCACAGTGCTTTTACTTTGAAGTGCTGTTCCCTGCTGTAGAGTGAGTGACTGATGGATAGCTACATGACAGAGACAGTGACATGGTCAAATGCAAGTATGACTCTGACTATATTAAACTGTGTGGGCCTTAAACAAATGACTGAGGAGAAATCTGGACCCCGTGGCTGGACCAGTTGGGAATCACTGCTCTGAGGACAGCATTTCACCAAGGGCGCTTTGAGCTAAGGTTATTAGTGTAACCAACAGAATACATAACTACATTATTATCTTTTACTCAAACTGCATTACTGTACCGCTGGCACTGGACGTTATAGGGTTGGT